GCTCCTTCTGGCTACTCAGTCAACGGTACTTTCCTACATGTTGGGGTCAATGGTGCTTTCTTCTGTGGTACCGAAGCAGGGGTGTGCTTAGACTTAGACCACACACTACTCTTAACCCCATAACTAGCAGTCTTTAGTGCCGGGATCTCCCCCTTTCTGCACTCTGCTTCTTATGCCTCTTCTTAGGCACTGGGGATGGTGAATGGTGACAGGACTCATGCATGGTAGGAGGCGCACTCCTTACTGAGTGCCGCACTCCTTACACCCAGTCTTGAGTCTGATCGACATGGCTCAGATAGATGTCTGAGGGATGCTCTATGAGTAGAAACTTTAGCCTGGCTTCACAATCTTTCCTCATGTGGGGCTTAAAGTCCCCGAAAATTTGACAATGTTCTCTGATATGAGCTTCCCCGAGGCATTTAAAGCAACTTGAGCACAGATAGCTCACAGCCTTATTGCAGGAAATGTAGGGCTTGAAGCCCGATGACTGAGGCATCCCGTGGTAGTGGGAATCAAATGAAACCATCAGATGAACTAAACACTAATAAACTTACTAATACTAAACTATTCAAAATAAAATATGAGCGGATACAGTCCACTGAGAGTACTTGCAGAAGCAAGGAGAGCAGTTCCAGTGACCATCACAGGCAGTAAGAAGGAATTGAGGGGACTCAGGTTGGCCGGGCCCTTTATACCGATCCCAGCGGCAGCAGAGGGCACTCAAGCCACCCCGATGAGTACCACTAAGGGAAAAATTTCTGGTGACTGTGCATGGGGGCGCGCACACCAAGAGTAGAATGCACATGTGCAATTACTCAAAGGAGGGCAACCAAGAGGACCCATGGAATTATAGACCAGTTAGTCTAACTTTAATACCTGGAAAGATACTGGATCAAATTAAACAACAATCAGTCTACAACCACCTAGAAGATAAGAGGATAAGTAATAGCCAACATGGATTTGTCAAGAACAACTCATACTAAACCAACCTAATTTTCTTCTTTAATAGGGTATTGGCCTAGTGGATGGGGGAAGCTGTAGAGGTGATAGATCTTGATTTTAATAAGGTTTTTGACAAAGTGCTTATGAGAACATCAATTGGGAAACTAGGGAAATGTGGTCTAGATGAAATTACTATATGATGGATACATAACTGGTTGAAAAATGAGCTTAACTTGAAGCAAGGGAGGTTTAGGGTAGGTATTACAAAAAACTTTCTAACTGTAAGGATAGTTAAGCACTGGAATGGGCTTCTAAGAGAGGCTGTGGAATCCCTGTCATTGGTGGATCTTAAGAACAGGTTAGACTAGGTATACTTGGTCTTGCCTCAGTATTGGGGACTGGACTAGATGACCTCTTGAGGTCCCTTCCAGCTGTATATTTATATGATTCTATATAATGCCTTCTAGTGCCACTATGTTCAAACATTTTTTATTACATGCACAGTAAAACACTACTTTTCTCAGGTTATGCTGGGCCATATATTTGGCCTTCAAGGTTTCAACACAAGCATATTAATTTTCCCAACTAAAAATATTAGCTGATTATCTCACATTATTTTAAAATACAAAAATGGATCTATATTTTAAGAACAGAAAACTAGCAATACGCTACTCCAGAATAAGGAGTACAAATTTGTATATAATTTTATGATGATGTGCAATGTTTAAGGGAAGTAGAGTTGGGGGGAAAACTTTGAATAGAAAAATTTTATTTTGCAGAGTCTATGTATGAAAACTAGATACTATAGATGAGTACTGTTTAAGGTATCCTTATAAATCTGTTATGGTAAGCTTTTCAATCCTAATTCTTTTCAATGCAGTAAAGGGGTAAGGAACAGGAAATAAGAGATAGCTGGGACAGAGGGTCATCGTAAGGTGCTGGAGGCAAAAGTGTGTCACTGAGCAATAAAAGGAGGCGGAGCAGCAAAACAGGGGTGGGTGAAAACTATTGAGAGCGCTAGGTTAGTAGCGAACTGAAGGACAAGGGAAGAGCTATCGAAGAGGTTAGAGAACCAGAAGGGCATTTTGGCAAGAGCAGTAGCCTATATGAGAGGAACAGACAGGAGTAAGGAATATAAATAAATAGCTGGAGAGGAAGATAAGGACCTGGAGGAAAGAGGCATTTGGGAGACCAAACTGCAGGGAAACGTAACTGGGAATGCTTCTGGCAGTGGTAGCTGCAGCAGCTGCCCACCAAAGGTCTGGGGAGAAAGGAAGGAAGTAGGGAATCTTGGGCAAGGGTTGTACCCCTGGCTAGAGGAAGTGACATGCTAGCTAGTTGATGAAAGGAAAGGAAAGGAAAGGGTGAGGCACTCAGGGTGGTGGAGCTTTGAGTTCCCCTCCCTTATCATATTTGTAACATCAAAAGACTGCCTGGTTCCAGAGGCACTACAAACCCTTTGATGTGAGAGCAGTTCTGGCATAACACTACAGTAGCACACCAAAAAGGGAGGGGGCTATTAACTCTCAGATTAAAGAGTTCCTAAATGCTCAATGACATGTAGAACGATAGCCAAGAAACAGGCATGAGAGTGAATTTCCTAGTACTATATGACACGCCAAGATTTGAAAATATTGCGGGGCCCTCTAAATTTCAGGGGTTGGAGATGGTCACAAGATCCTTCTCTGATGCATTGTGATCCTTGTCTCCCTTTCAGTGTTACCGCTGGAAGGGGAGATTGAGCAGAGAATTGACTCCACTCTAGTCCTCCTAATGGAGAAAAAGAGTAGAGCATCTCTTGAGTTTCTAAGTCTGTTCAAGGAATCACGGAGAAATTTGCCTTACTGATGCTTAAAGCCTTAACTTTCATGCATGCGCAATATCATTTAAAACAAAACACAAAAAACACTAATTCTGAAAAAGGAAGTCCATATATAAAACCATTTCATAACATTCAGAATCAGTCAGTGATACTGGTATAAATCTATAGAGTTACTCTACATTTACACCACTGTAAAGGAGAGAAGAAACAGTTCCTAGGAGTCTGAACCAAGCTAACAAGAGTCAAGAATTCAGAGTAACTTTTTCCTCAACTTTCATGTTTTCTGTTGATGAGCATTAGAACAGCAGGCTATAATAGACATCAAAGGAGATGTAACACATTGGTCCAATGGGGTAAACTAAGGAAGAGTTAATCTCAAATAGAATTTTCTGGTCTTTCATTTAAGTCAGACTGATCGTGTCAAGGTAACATAGGGCCAAATCCTATAACTTTTTAATGATAGTTTTGCTTAAGAAAGGACTAAATCATTTGACCTACACTATTTTGTATGCAACAGTACATTTTAGCTTGCAGATATTTTATGAATGAACAAAATATAATGGCTAATGCTAAGAAATTTATTATTTGACAAATGTACTGCTTGGTTTTTAAATCACATTTGAAAAAAATTTTTTTTTAATTAGGGATAGTGAATAATCAAGAGATTTGTTTCAAATGGCACCCAGCACAGAAGTCAAGACTTCTAGCAGGCATGAAGTTAGAGGATGTGTTTATCTGGTTATTTTTCTTAGAAGGAGGAGGAAGTTCCAAGGCAAACACAAGTGTGACTATTGATTAACATGATTGTCCTGCATAGCAGAGAAAAATGTATTTTTCCATATACCTTGTTGATTGTAAGAATATATTAAACTGTTACCATGGGTTTACCTGGAATAAACTGACACATTACTCAATTTGTTATTGGATCTTTTTGATTAGAGAACATTGCTATAAAATATTTGTGCAGATGGAATTTTTGGAGAATTTAGCTGCAAAGTTCTACCAGCTCTCTACTGCAGTGGTTCTCAACCAATTAAACATTGTGGGCCACATATGTGTTACCTGGGATGCAGGTTGAGAACCACAGCACTCCCCCAACCCCCTCCAACCTTTTATGCCCAGCGCCCCCAGACCAGAGATCCCTCCACAAAGTGGGGCCAGGAGCGGAGCCCTGGTGGAGAGGTTGGGCAGCAGGGACCCTTTACCCCGTTGTGCGGGGCCAGGCATCAGCCCTGACCCGACCCCGCTGTTAACCCTGACCCCGACCCTTGCTATGTGGGGCTGTGCGACAGCCCTGACACTGGATGCTGGTGTGCAGGGCAGGGTGGCAGCCTGGACCCTGCAGCCAGCCTCATGGCAGCCCCTGGCAGTCCTGGACCCCGCCACATTTTAGCACACAGCTGGGCTGCAGCTGTGTGCTAAGTGGGCCACATGCGGCCCGTGAACCACTGTTCTAGTGCTTTTTTTTTAAAGACTTATAACTTGGCCAAATTTGGGCAGATTTTCATGGGGTGTCCCATGGCTGGGCTCTGGGGGAAGGGGGCATGAATGTCTGATCTCCCCGGTTAGGCTTGAGGGTGCGGGGAGGGGGCAGAAAAACAGGAACTCGGTTGTCGTAGGGGTTTCTTTAACTCTCTACTCAGGGGAATTTTGTGTGTGTCTGTATTGTTACAGACATAGCTGCTGACAGGTACAGTATTTTGAAATAAATTACCAAAATGATTGAAACTGGCATGATTACATAATGTTATTTTGACCAACAAAATACGAAGAATTTTGCAGAATTTTAAAATATTGCCTGCAGAATTTTAAATTTTTTGGCGCAGAATTCCCCCAAAAGTATTAATTGAAATTTACTTGCTCACTTCATCCGTCCAAGTGCAGAATTGCTGGTAAAGAGATATTAATGTATACTTTACATTAAACTTAAGCAAATTAAACAAATTCAATAAATGGCAATGTTTGTCTAATTAGTATTTATAGAGCTCTGACCTTTAAAATATGCTAGGCTTTACCAACATATTTCCATTAAATGACCTCATGCCAACGCACTGCTAGTTGCTAATTTCACCTATTCTTTGGTTCATTTTTGTCAATTGGCAAACAAAAACTTCTTGGAAGTTGGGGTAGTGTTTGGAAAAGTTCTTTCACACATCCTGGACCTTTTCCCTTTTGGGACTATATGAAAATCTGTTTAAGAACTAGAATTGGTTTGAAAAGAAAAAGAGAAACTTACTGTTTCTAAGACCATGATACGTTCCTGCAAATAAAGCAGAATACATAATTAGAAAGTAAAGAGAACAAATAAAAAACAAGTTGAACATGATGAAAGGGCTTCATTTTGTCTTTGCTGGTATTAGCACATACAACATTTTGTACAAAAACTTATTACATAGGAACACAAGAATTGCCATACTTGATCAGGCCAGTTGCGCATTTAGTTCAGGATCTTGTCTTTAGCAGTTGCTTCAGTGGAAGGTGAAAGAAACCCTGAAGAAAACAGTTATGAAAGAACTTGCCAAAAAGGAAGGTTTCTTCTGATCCCCTATTAGGAGTCTGGCTTCTGCTCTGAAGCAGGAGATACAATATCACTTACAATTTTTTGAAGTATTTATCATGACTTTGAATATTTTTTTAACCATGTAAATGTCCAATCCTTTTTTGAATCCTGATAAATTCTTGGCCTCCATGGCAATAAGTTCCGTTGTCTAAATGCATGTTACATGAAGTATTTCCTCTTTGCCATCTTTTAATTTAATTGGATGCATTCTTGTTCTTGACCTTGCATCATATGAAATTGTAAAAAGAAGTTCCTATCTACATTATCTGTACCATTCATTATTTTATATATTATATTTATCGTGCCCTTTCTTATTCCTCTCTTCTCTAAGATAAATTGTTTCAATCATTCCAAACTCTTCATGTGAGAGTTTTTCCATGCACCAACTCATTTTCATAGCCTCTAAGCACCCCACTGCATTTCTGTTACGTCCTTCTTGGGATGGGGTTACCAGAACACAAAATTCCAAGTCAGGGTGTACCACTGATTTCATATGGTGATGTTATATTTTCAGTACTCTCTACCCTATTTCTTATGCATCCCGACATTTTGTCTGCTTTTTTGACCATTGCTGCATGTTGAGCAGAGGTCTTCCCTGAGTTGTCTTCATTACTGTGATCTGATTGTTTTTCAGTGTTTATATTGTATTAGCATCTATGTTAGGTAGTGCTTTATAAAGCTAAAACGCAAATTACATTGATGCTACCTCCTCTTGATAGACTGACTAGTATAATTTTGTTAGAAATAAAAATAAAAACCTAAAAAAACAAACAAAAGGAAAACCCAAATATAGACATAATAAAAATAGACTAACTAAGCCACTGAAGAGTGTACAAACTAAGGGGCCTACAGTTAAAATAAACCAGAAAATCTGTAGGCATTCCTATATGAACCATTCGAAAGTGGTCTGCTGTCTCTTCCCCTTTCCTCTATGTACTATTGGGACTTATCGTATAAACTTTCTTAACCTCATGTCACTATTAGACAGAAGGCTGTGGAGGAAGAAAACAAGTTTAAGTCTACACTAAAAAGGGTTTGCGGGTATAGCTATAGCAGTAATTCTACACTGGCAAACCTTCTAATGGAGACAGTATATACTGGCAAAAGAACTCTTTGGGTTGTATAGCTTATACCAATTCCCTGAACAAAATAAGCTATATCAGCAAAAGGACTTTTTTGCTGGTATAAAAATGTCATAAATGATTACACCACTGTTCAGTGTTATTATACTGGCAAAAGTTTCTAGTAAAGACCTAGGCCAAGAAGCTCCTTCTTCCTCCTCAACAGCTGGGGGGCGTGGAACACACCCAGATGTGCACAGCCTATGGCCATCCCTCCCACGCAACTCACACCAACAGGGTTTAAAAAAGTTTACTGGAGCTGCTGTTGTTGTTGCAACTTGTAGAACAAGAGATTACAATTTTAAAGGTAGAAGGTGTTCACAGAACATCTACTACCCCAGGAGAGAACCTGCCAAACCCAACAAAGGAGGAACTGGAATTTAGCCATCTCTAATTTTCTGAACCCTGATCCTCATAGGTCTTCTAGAAGCCTGAGCCATGGACCAGGACCTCACTGAGCTAGGCACTGTACAAACACAGAACAGAAATATAGGAGCTTACAATCTAAGTATAAGACAAGAGACAACAGATGGAACAGGTAGCTGTAGGAATACAAGGAAACAAGCAGACAGTATTGATCAGGGTGATAGGCAGTGGTCCCAGCACACCAGCAGCCTAATCACTGTTAATTTTTTTGTAGGCACCATACACTCATAGACATTAACGCCAGAAGGGATCATCATGAGCATCTAGTCTGACCTCCTGCACATTGCAGGCCACAGAAACTCACACACACACTCCTGTAATAGATCCCTAATCTCTGGCTGAGTTATTGAAAGGAGTGTTTTAAGGAGGATAATGAGTTAGTTTTGTGGATGTTTACAAGCATGAAGGACTGCATGGGAAAAAGCATGAAGGTGTTAGTTTGAAAATTTAACAAGTGGCAATACAGGCTGGCATCACTGGCTGATTGGAAGCAGGAGTTGACTTTTTAATACTGAATGAAAGATAATAGGTGGAGATGGGTCACGAGGGGCCTTGCAAGTGAAGACAAATAGCTTATGTTTGATGTGACAGAGAAGAGGGAGACATCAGAGGGATGCAAAGAGTGGGCTAATGATGTCAAAGCAACACACTAGGAAAAATGATCTTTGTAGCAGCATTGTGAATGGATATCAGAGGGGCAAGATTGGATTTGTCAAGGCTAAAGAAAAGGATGTTGGAGTAAATGAGATGTGAGATGAGGAGAGTATAGAGCTTTAGCTGTGTGGATGGATGGGAAAGGCTGTATCTTAAAGATGTTAGGCAAAAAGAAATCTGCAAGATTTAGACATACACCTCTACCCTGATATAACGCAGTCCTCGGGAGCCAAAAAAATCTTACTGCGTTATAGGTGAAACCGCGTTATATCGAACTTGCTTTGATCTGCCAGAGCGTGCAGCCCCACCCCTCTGGAGTGCTGCTTTACCGCATTATATCCGAATTCGTGTTATATTGGGTCGCATTATAGCAGGGTAGAGGTGTAGTTGGATGTGAGGACCGAGGGAGAAAGTATATTGTACTTAGTCAATGTTAATTAGAGGTTTGGGGAGATTTTTGTGATTATTTTTTGGCCCAACCCTATACCCATTAATATCAATGGGAGGATTTGTTGTTGTTTTTTGCCATCGATTGAAGTGGGATCAGGATAGGGTGACCAGATGTCCCGATTTTATAGGGACAGTCACGATATTCAGGGCTTTGTCTTATATAGATGCCTATTACCCCCCCCACTCCCTGTAGCTATCTGGTCACCCTAGATCAGGAACAGGTACTATATGTTTATGTTGCCCTCTTTTGATTTGCTACAGTTTTGGAAGAATGTAAGTGTATTTTTATAAGTAACAGGTAGTAGATACTTCCCTTTAGCTCAATTGGTAGAGGCTTGTTTTTGGAGCCAAAGTACTGGGATTTCTACTCCTGGCTCTGCACATGTGTTTTGTTATGGACTAGAGCTCATTTCCGTAGTTAAGGTTGCAAACACAGTCCTCCTGCAAAACTTTAAGCTTTCAAATGTTTAGGGCTAAGTCTCATTGAAAACAGAAAGCGTTCTGAAAATGTTTAAGAAATTGAGTACTTTTGAGAATAAAAGATTTTAAATTGGTTCCTTTTGGAAATGTTGGCAAAGTGTCTAGCATTTCACAGTACCCCTTAACCTACCCAACTAAGTTGCATTACACCACACCATTTGGAACATCATTATCCCGGTTCAGGCAAAATGTAGTTTCCCAGGGCAGGAACAATAAAAGAGGTTTATGTTATTTGTAAGCTAGACATCGTTCTCTGTCAAATGAAGCTGCTGGTAAAAAAACAAACACACACACACACACACGTTTCATCATTGACCTCTGAACCAGCCAGGGCTGGCTTTCAAAAGGAGAAAAGAAATCTCAACATTTGTTAAAAATTAGTCTTCCTCCTGCATTTCCATCTAAAGTGCCCCCTTGTCCTATAGATAATGTGCATGGGTCCATCTTTCAGAGGAGTAACTGAAAAACTGGCAGTTTAAGTCACTTGATAAAAGTTATATAGGACATATGTGGCCACAGCTAGGAACAGAAACCTGATCACTGAGGTAGTAGACCCATATTTTAGCAATTAGACCACATTGCCTCTGATACATTAAGAAAAAAAACCTAGCTTTTATATAACGCTTTTTATTTGTAGATCTCAAAGCTCCTTATGAAGGTCAGTGTCATTGTCCCGTTTTACAGATGGGGAAGCTGAGGCCCAGGGAGGGGAAGTGACTTGCCCAAAGCCACCTGTTGCCAGTGGCAGAGCGAGGAATGGAACCCAGGCCTCCTGAGTTTAAGTCCAGTGCCTTCTCGATTAAGCACACTGCCTCCGAAGTTCACTCAAATCTTTATACTTAGTTAGGGTAACTATAAAATGCGGGTAATACTCACCTTTGTAATGTGCTTTGAGATCTATAGAGAAAAAGGTGTTAGGTACGCACAAAGCTACATTATTACCATATTTTTCAGATGGATAAGTAAGACACAATGAGGTTCAGTGGCTGGTAGAGGCGCTATGACCTAGTAGTCTGGGCACTAGCTGTAAAACCAAAAGACACAGCTTCTAGTCTAGTGTTTGACACCATTTGCTGTGTTTTTCTTTTAGCACATCTTACCACATTCAGAGTAAGACAGTAGGCCTGCTGCACTTGCATGCATGGCTAATTTCGTTATTTCAGGAATAAGCAACAGAATGTCCTGTGGCACCTTTAAGACTAACAGAAATATTGGGAGCATAAGCTTTCGTGGGTAAGAACCTCACTTCTTCAGATGCAACTGACTTGCATCTGAAGAAGTGAGGTTCTTACCCACAAAAGCTTATGCTCCCAATACTTCTGTTAGTCTTAAAGGTGCCACAGGACCCTCTGTTGCTTTTTACAGATTCAGACTAACACGGCTACCCCTCTGATATTTCAGGAATGTGTATCTTTTCAGGTGTGCATTGTATGAGGCAGATTCACACAAGAGCCATTCTAATTTTGATCAACAAAAACACTTAAGGGCTTTACCTGAAAATCCTGTCTAGTGATAAATAAGTAAAATTAAATTTCCCACTTAAGAGTAACCTTAAGAAAGTAATGTTTA